GCTCTCACAAACAATTACATTTAATTTTTTTACTACAGTAAAAAGCTTTCACATAAAGTCATATTTCAACTCCAATTAAAAACTAAAATCAGCGAACTAGACGGCCTATATATATTTAAGATATAATAGTACCGTTCAATGATAAGGGCAAGCGGAAGAATGAAAGCGGTGGCAAAAACGAAATGGTAAGCGACAATGATTCTCAAATTCATTCCGTCGTTAGCGGCCAATTTGTAGAACACGTTGACGCCGGCGTAGGTGATCTGAACGACCACCATTAGCAACGCTGGCTTAAGCGCATGCAGAGCCTCGGAAATCTGCCCCCCACCCATATACACACTAACCAGAGAGAAATACACAAATATATATATATATATATATATATATGTATGTATGTATGTATGTATGTAGGTATGTATGTATGGGGTGGCAGAGGAAAGTGAGTGTTATATATTGAGTTACAACTATCAGTGACAAATATGAATGAACTGCCGAGAGCAGTTGGGTATACTTATAGGCGTGTATGCGTCATGAATGGAAAAAATAAAAAAGGAGTGAATGATTCTTTTTTCGTTTTTGTTTTTAATCTATTTATGTCTTTACTTGTGTTGAAAGGAATGTGAATTGAATGAAAAAAAGGAAAGAAGAAGAAGAAGAAAACCAATTATAAATAATTATCATAATCGTTTTTTTATCATTAAAATAATTCAACAAATTACCCTTATAATTTCTTTACAATTTTAGGTCTCGTTCATTTTACCGATTTGAGTTTTTAGTTCTACGTTTCTATAGTTAAAAGCTCTTAGAAAATGTCATATCTAACTTTTTTGTTACAGTTAAAAACTCTCAAAAATTACATTTCAACTCGAATTAAAAAACTCAAATCCGCAAAGCGAATGAGGTGTGTGCAAAGATATATAATTTAGTAGTTGTATTATTATTTTTTAACAAACAAATGTTAAATGTTAATTATCAACTTTTAAACAGTTTTTATCATTATTTTCTTAAAGAAGATTAATAATCAGTAAAAACGAATTAGCTTGTTTAGAATCCTGTTTTCTAGAAGTAAATAAGCATGAAATTACTGATCAGTGATCCCTTTTTTTTCCCTTTCTCAATCTTTTTTTTATTACATTGTATTACATTTACAGGCGAACATGCGTTGGTGTAATTACTGAGCTATAAAGATCTGAGTTGTTCCCTACGTCATTGCCTACGTAGCTAACATTGTTCAGCAAATAATTTTCTTTTTGTTTACCAAAAGAAAAAAAAAGTAATAATTTATTTTTTGTTGATGAATCACAGTTTTCAAAGTTATCTGCCGTCTAAAACAGGATTGCAATAATACAACTAGGGCTGTTCATAAACCCGAACAACCCGCAAATCTAACCCATCTCGCCCTAATCCAAGCCGAAAAAAGTAACCCGCAGTATTATTTTTAAATTTGCGGCTCATTATACCTCTAGCCCGAAGTATTTGGGGCGGATTGCGGGTTGGGCCCATAACAACCCGCAATCCCTAACCTAACCCGCACAACATACCCCAAGTTTTCGGCCCAAGCCGAACTGTCTAAATTCTACCCTAGGCTCGCTAACATTAGGGTTGACAATCTCATTCTCGGTCTTCCCTCCCGTGAATCCCCTCTTCTTGCCTCTTCCTTTTCAGTTTTCCCTCTTCTTCCCCTCCTGTGAATCTCCTCATAACTCTCTCCTCATTGCTCAGTCCTCTCGGCCGCCGTCTTGCCCACTTTCTCCGGTGCTCTCTCGCCAGACTGATAAGGATGGTTGCTATTTCTATTTAATGATGAAGTTTGAATATTATATTGAACTTTTAAGTCTTTGATTTTTTGAATGTTGAAACCGACCACCTAACCCATCCCGCACTGTCCCAACCCAACCCAAACATTGTTGGGTTGTGAAATTTTTCTAACATCGTTGGGGCTAAATATGTGCAACCCGTACTCTTTGGGGCGGGGAAAAAAAAATCCTACCCCGCACCAATCCAACCCATGAACAACCCTAAATACAACTTCCATTTTTCCACTGAGACCGGCGACGAATGGTCTTCGTGGGTCTACCGTTGCATGGATCTTTATTACTTTTGTTGCATGTATTTTGACTAATTTGTTAATCAATAACTTTTTGCCACGTCATCTTACCCTGCATGCTATTCTAATATTCGTCATATGGTGATCAATTAGCGACGGAGCTAATATTTCATTTTAATGAGGTGTGTATTAATTTTTTTAATAAATTATTTTAATGGAAGTATATAAGAAAATATATTTATTTTAGTGAAAATATATATTATTTTAGTGAAAATTTAAGTGTAAAATTTTAAAATTTTTAAAAGTAATATTTTTTTTAAAAAAATTTAAGTGGGAGACAATAACTCCTACTGAAGTGTACTTAAATCCATCGCTGATTAGACTTGTCTACTGCATATATAGCGTACTCGCTTGTCTTGCGCACTGCTCAATGTGGTTAGCATCTCCAGTATAATGATGTGCCAACAACAAATTCAATATTAATTCAATATTTAAGGATAAAAAAACTCTCCAGTGTAATGATATTTCAGTGATTACTTTCGTGGGCTAGTACCATATGGGCAATAATTGAATGGAAGCTTTTAATCAATCGCTTCCGGTTGGAAATATTTGACCTCTCTATTGTAGTTATAGGAGGTTTATATATAGAAATTGATTCAAATAAAATATCAAGTTGGTGCTTGGTATATGAAATAATGCTTTCCGTGCAGAGTATACAAATTGCGTATGAAAATTAGTACACTCTTGAGTGATTATATAATGCTCAAGTTGATGTAAGATTTAAGTATTTTTTTTTTTTAACCATAGAGAGAGTTATGATTAGTTACTAAATTTTCATTTTAGATATGTTTTGAAGAATCATATGTTCATGTTTGTGTATATTCTGTGGAGTGACATTTTTCTTATTTATAATTTTGTCTCTCATTTATAATTAACCATTTTAAAGGATATTAGATTTAGATGCCAATGCCTCTTCTAAGATGAGGAGGAAGTGAGTGCTAGTTGGAGGAAAAGGAAGGAAAGTTTTTGTCAATATCTGCATGAACTCATACACCAATATTCTTTGTAGTGACGTCAAGGTTCTATTTATATGTTTTAACTTTGACACTGGGGTACCTTTCACAAAAAAAAAAAAAAAAAAAAAAAAAAGAAAGGAAAAAGAAAAAAAAAACGAAACCACACTGGGGGGATTCGTGAATGATCCAAAGCTTTGTTTATTTGAAATGGTCTGTGCAGTACATATCTAATTAGGGTCTTTGTTTCGAAAAGCAAATATCCAGGTATTTGTTTCGGAGTGTTATATTAATTACGTGTCACTTGACTAACGCTTTTATGGGCTAGCTTGATGTTGAATCTTTTTTTTATTTTTATTTTTTATAATTAAGGCAGCTTGATGTTGAATGTTAGGTTTTACATATCGGTTTAAATTTTGTCAAATGATATTATGCTTTTTAGAAGAATGAACAACTTCAATGGCTACACAATATGAGGATAACTTCTTAGATTTTAAAATTTTTTAAACTTTTGTACAATTATTAAGAAGTTATCCACTAATCATTTAGCTATAAAAAAAAATAAAAAAAAAGAAGTTATCCACTAATCAAAATATCACAAATAGCTAAAAATTAAAAAATAATAATAATAAAAAACTGAATTAATCACTAAATCAGACGATGCAGAATAGCTATATAATCCCGTATAAAAGTAAGGAATATCGACAATAATAAAGGAGTTAAAGAGAAGAAGAGGCAAACTCAAGAAAAGATTATCGTAAAGTTTGGCTTAAAGCGCTTTTTATGATAAAGGTGTGCAATTTAAGATCAAGAGAGGTTGTATACAAGTTAGGAGCTCATAAATATGTTACTTAAAAAATTTATACAAGAAGAAAACTCTTAAATACCCTAAATCTAGAAAAAGAGTCATTTTGGGTTGTGTAACTGCCAGGTCGTTAGTCCAGTGACCCGTTGAGTTAACTGGATGTCTCTATACCAGACACTAAAAATATCATATTAAAATCATATCTCTGTATCCCATTGGCTTACCAAAGTAACCCACCAATTACTAGAAGAGGGAGGTTGAGAGAGAGAGAGAGAGAGAGAGAGAGAGAGAGAGATAGATTTGTGCGAGAAGAAGAAGAAGGGGAGGGACAAAATTATCAGTTTGAATTTTACAAAATGCCCCCAACAATTTAATAAAAGTTGAACTTTAAACCTGAATTAAAGTTTGTCACAAATAAACCTAAATAAAAATTTAAATTTTCCCAAAATATTTTTGAGGGTTCTAATTACTTCTACACATCTACTCTCCCAGCATGCATGTGTTGTTTTTCCGGGGCAAATTTTAAGATATTACAGACACGAGGTAGAGGTAGTTTTATATTTTGCCGAGTCTTGAAATTTAAGATCTCGTTGCAAACTTGAATAAAAATATTTTTCAGGTTTTGTTTTTTTCTATCTTGGTTTTTTCCTTCGCCAACCGTTTTTTAAGAAATTGATTTGCAACTATTAAAGGCTCTAGCTAAATCTACTCATTCTCTAATATTCTTGGAGCTATATATCTATTTGTATATAGATGATTCCAAGTACAATATAATAATGTAGGACATTTCCGCTAGCAACCTCCACAAATATCGCTAATTTCCTACTCCGACAGTGTGATAACAACTCTGAAAATTGTCGCAAAACTAGCTAATTACTACAGAAATCTTCTGTATAACTTCAGTAGCAAAGTCTTTACCGGAGGAATATACTAATAAACTTACATTATGATATTTGTTTCGCGTATATATATATATATATATAAACTTCATATAGGCTAGCCCCCGAAGGATAGGCAACTGGTTCCCACCTAATCCCTCCCACGTACATTGAAGATTGCAAAATTCTTCTTGATTCTCTTTCTTTTCCTGTGCGCGCGAATCCTTACATTCATCACGTTCCTTTTTTCCGAAGATCTATTCATTATTGATGCTTGTTGTGCTGCCATTATTAGTGCTGTTGTTGTTGTTGTTGTCTGATGTGATACAAGTTTTGTTGTTATCTGCAGTTGGAGAAGTACTTACAACAATTTCTATTGATTTCTGTCGGGAACCAAGGCCTTGATCTGAAGGTGCTAGTTGTATGATTTTCTTCGTCTCTTCATTTTTTCCCCACAACACCATGTATAATCCAATCACGATCGGAATTGATCCTAATACACTTTCATATGAATGCACAGTATAATACACGTTCAGATCTTTTATAATTTGCCAAGAAAATAAAATCTTATAATTAATAATATATCTATCTATATATAGATTAGAGTGTAGTTTTTTCAGTCAGGGTCAATTTATGTGATAAGATAAATTTGTTCTTTATTTGCAGAGACATGAGCTAAAACGGAAGATGTAGGGGAATAACAATATTAGATTTTTTCTTTAATACTGAGTAACAAAATTGTAATTTAATTCACGAAATATTTCAGGTCCTGTTGAACATGATAAAGATACTGATTAAAAAATGTAAGGCCATGAAAATTACAAACAAACAAAAAATCAAAGTGCATCATATATATATATAT